CGTGAGATCATGACCTGAGCTGAAGTTAGACGCTTAACCAACTGAGCCACCCGGGTGCCCCTCAGTTAAATCACTTCTCAATCTTTAAATCCTTATCTGGATAGCCTAGAAAAATTATATATATTATGATTATATTTTCCTAATGTTAAAAATTGTCTTGTTTTCTTTTTTGCTGAGTTTTCTATGTAGGAATCTGTCTTTCCCCAAATTCTACACAGAACTTTTAGTTAAATAGCTCCTTGTTTGGGGTGCCTGGGTGGCTCAGTTGGTTAAGTGTCCAACTTTGGCTCAGGTCATGATCTCATGGTCGGTGAGTTCAAGCCCCACGTCGAGCTGTGTGGAGCCTGCTTCAGATTCTGTGCCTCCTCTTTCTCTGCCGTTTCCCACTCATGCTCTGTCTTTGTCTCTCTCTCTCTCAAAAATAAATAAACATTAAAAAATTTTTTTAATAAAAAATAAAATTAAATTTAAAACACATCAGAAATTCTTTCAAACACATCAGAAATTCTTTCAGTGTCATTTTCTTCTCAGAGTCATTCTTCCTAATTCTTATCTGAACTTGCTCTGCAGTGCAGCTGTCATTCTGAATCTTCCCTTCACCATTGTCCTAGGCATTCCTACCTCTTCTCTCCAATGTTGGATTCTCTGCTACTTGGATCCTTTTCTTTCTTAGTTTACTCCTTGGATTTGGTGGAGCATATATTCCAGAAACTTCCTGACAACAGATGCATGGCACCTAAGTAATTTTTTGAGAACTTGCATATCTGAAATTCTTTACTTTCCCCTCACACTTGATTGCAAATTAGAATTCTAGATTGGTTCATTATTTTTCTTCAAAATTTCTAAAGCATTGCTCCTATTGCCATATCACTTTATATGTTGCTTTTAAGAGATTTGATGCAGGGGGTGAGGGGGCCTGGGTGACTCAGTTGGTTAAGTGTCCAACTCTTGATTTCTGCTCAGGTCATGATCCTAGCATTGTGGGAAGGAGCCCTGTGTCGGACTTTGTGCTGGGCATGGAGCCTGCTTAGGATTCTCTCTCACTCTGTCTCTGCCCCTCTCCCCTGCTTTCATTCTCTCTCTCTCAAAAAAAAAAAAAAAAAAAAGATAAGTAAATAAAATAAAATGAAAATTTTAGAGAACAATTAGACTGACTTTAAAAGGAAAATGTTGGGGCGCCTGGGTGGCGCAGTCGGTTAAGCATCCGACTTCAGTCCATGAGTTCGAGCCCCGCGTCGGGCTCTGGGCTGATGGCTCAGAGCCTGGAGCCTGTTTCCGATTCTGTGTCTCCCTCTCTCTCTGCCCCTCCCCCGTTCATGCTCTGTCTCTCTCTGTCCCAAAAATAAATAAACGTTGAAAAAAAAATTTAAAAGGAAAATGTTAGGGGCACTTGGCTGACTCAGTAGGTTGAGTATCCAAAAGACTTGGTATGAATAGTAGTTCTATTTGGATTTAAAAATTGATGTTTGCATTTATATTGTGTAGATTAGAGAAACAAAATCTGTAAAATTTTTCATGATAATCCATGTATGAATCTTTTCAAAAGTGGGATATTCATTTGAGGAATAATTGTAATAGTTTCTTTTTCATTAGAAATTACTATTGCTCCCAGAATTGTCTCTACCCATTCTTACAGTCAAAATAATAGTCTTTAGATTAAGATATATCCAAGAATTTTGTACTACCAGAAAGAAATCACTATCTTCTGAAGCCATTGTTGCTATAAAAATAAAAGCTGGCCTGTTTTACTGTAGTAATTACTTGAGTTGCTAAAAATAAAAATCAGCAAAAAAAAATTTTTTTTAAGTTTTATGTATTTTGAGGGAGACAGAGACAGTGTGAGTAGGGGAGGGGTAGAGCACAGAACCCAATGTGGGTCTTGAATCTACAAAACTGAGATCATGACTTGAGCTAAAAACCAAGAGTTGGATGCTTAACCTACTGAGCCACCCAGGTGCCCCTAATATTTAACCTTTTTAAAGATACATATAGAGTAAATTTTATTTTCTTCTTCTTCTTTTTTTGGTATCTGGCAGGTTTAAATGTTCATTTATTTATTGAGAGAGAGAGAGAGAGAGAGAATGAGGGGGGAGGGGCAGAGAGAGAGGGAGAGAGAGAATCCCAAGTAGGCTCCATGATCAGCTCGGAGCCTGGCACTGGGCTTGACGTGGGACTTGATGTGGGACTCGATGTGGGACTCAGTCTCACAACCGAGAGATCATGACCTGATCCCATATCAGGATTCAGATGCTTAACCAACTGAGCAACCCAGGTGCCCCTAGAGTAGATTTTAAAAAGAAAAAAGTGGTTTGCTTTGGCAATGGTCATGAAAAGTCTATGTTCTAATTTTTTTATAGCTGGACACTAAGGTTTTTCAGGGTTGAGTCTCCCAGCTCTAACTAAGCACTGTTTTACAGCCTGCCATGTTCATGGAATTGATTCTGGTACATTTTCAGTATTTCACAAAGATTCATTTTCTTTTTTTTCTTGCTCATTCTAGTGAGACTCTATACAACTTCATTTCCCATATCAGAGAAAGCATTCACAAGGTAAGTATAGCTACATGTCAAGAAATTAGAACATTTTACGTTTTAAGAAGTTTAATAATTACATTCCATTGACCTTAATTCAAATAGAATAGCAAGATTTTAACTCTTTTTTTATCATTAAATGACAATACTCCAAGTTAGTAAAATAAGGCAACAATCTGAATTTTTTCTTAATTTCGGGTTTCTTAGTTGCAGGCATCTGTGGAAAAGTCTGAGGAACATCTCAGTTCAAGAAGTCAATCTATTTTAGATTGTTTGGAGACTGTGGCCAAGACATGTGAGTATCTCGTGTTTGAGGTTATCAGCAGAGGGCACTAGTGAGCAGAGAACTGAACTTTCTGACCCTAGCCATGTTTCTGCCAGTGGTGAGGTTTCACAGTATTTCAGATGAGAGGATGGGTACATAAGGTTAGTCTTGAAGAGATGTGGAGCACGCTGAACTGGATAGTAGGAACCCCTATGTATGGGGATGTTCCTGGTCCTTAGATGCCCTCTGTGAACTACTAATCCTCCACCCAGTAACCCCACTGCCTCTGGGTAGGCTAGCTCTGCCAGATTTCTCATCTCACTGCCTGAAGTGAATCAGCAGCATCCCTGAGTCCCAAATGAATTGCTGGTTATGCTGTCTGTAAAGATATTGTTCCCTTAGGACTTAGAAATAAAGACTCTGCTCACTTTGGAGTTAGAAATACTCCAGTCACCGCCTCTTCTTCTTTCTGTCTTGGTTTCAGTGAGAGCTATTCTGTAGTGAATCACAGCATCTTTCTCCATTTCAGTTATAGTTAGTGGTTTGTAAAGTCCCATGCTCTGCCAAGTAGTGATTTATGTTTAGATAAAACCTGGTCCTGGCTCTTACTAAACAGAAGAGAGCCATAACACAGCTCTCCTTAGGTGGACACCTCTGTAGAACCAACAGCTTCTCAGCTAAATGGCAAGATGATGACTGCATCTGCACTTGTTTGCATTTCTCTGTGTGTTTATTTTTTATTTTAAACAAATGGAAGTCAACTTATTTAAATGCTTTGGGATGGATTGCTCATGATTTACAAAAATTAATGCCTTTGTGTGGCTTAGAAATTAATCTCCATCTGTCTGTAAAAAAAGCACTGTACTGTCTGCTGGCTTCCAACCTGGGTATCCCCCACACAGGGCAACTGTGCATCTGTTTGGAAATCAGTTCTGGAAGCCTGGGACTATTATCCTCACAAGAAGTAACAAGACAAAGAGCAGAAGCAAATCAGGAATGCTTCCTTTGTGTAACATGATAGAATAACTCATTTGGAAGTGTCCAAGGAGAGTACTCTTCTCTCTTTCTACATTTAAAACTAGGTGAAATGCAAAAGGAGGGTTGCAGCAAAAATGTGACATTCTTAGTCCAGTACGGGAAATGGAAGTGCTTAAGTCCCAATACAAGGTCAAGGCAGAGTGAGGACTAGAACTGGGTCTGGCTTATAGTAGGCATAGGGGTCCCAATCCTTCACCCCTGATGGTTCCTTTTTAGAGGGTAAGATTTAGGAGAAGGAGCCACATTGATAGGGAAAACAGTAACAGACAGTGTAGCATCATATTAATTAGAAAGCCAGATCATTCTTGAAAATGAGCACAAGTAGTCTGTCCAGAGTCATTCCCTTTCTTGGTAGGTAGTGATGAGGATCAGGAAGTTAGTCATTGAAAGAGGAACCAGACAAATCCTCTATCATCATCTGGTCTGCCCCAGTCCAGCTGACCTGAAGCCCTGAATTTGCCAGTCAATACATTCTGCAGCCCTCAGTATGCACTGACTGTGGCTTGTAAGGGAAAGGGAAAGAGAAAAGATGTTGTGTGAAAGTACTCTCTTGTGCTATTATGTAATTGGCGCCTTCACAGAATGAGGTCATGAAATCTTTCCCTAGTCACAGTCTGCCTGTTCAACCAGAAGGATCACTCAAAGGCATCTAATCTAACTCCTCTTGTTCTTTAGCTGAGGACCAAGAACCAGAGTAATAGAATGAATTGCCAAGGCCATTCACATCCTACTTTAGTTTAGGTTTAGTTAGCCTTAGTAGAGAGCAGTACAATCTAATAGGTATCGGTTCTATTGAAAAATACGATCATTAGGAAAATAAAAATGAGGGGCTGTACTGAAAATCAGAAAATGTCTCTTTTGGAAAATAGATAACTCTACATAAAAATAAATTCCATATGAATCAATATATTAAGTGTAATTATTAAGTCATAAAAAGAGCTATAAGAGGAGCTCCTGGGTGGCTCAGTTGGTTGAGTGTCCAACTCTTGTTTTCGGCTCAGGTCATGATCCCAGGGTTGTGGGATAGACACCTGTGTCGGCCTCTGTGCTGAGCATGGAGTCTGCTTACGGTTCTCTCTCCCTCCGCCCTTCTCCCCACCTCAAGCACATGCACGCTCTCTCTCTCTCAAATTAAAAAAAAAAAAAAAACAACTATAAGAAAGCATGGGCAACATTTTTATAATTTTGGAGTGCAGCAGTGTCTTCTTAAGCAAAGCACATATAATCATTAAGAAGAATGAGGTCTATCTTTGTGAACTATGTTGAAATGGAAATATCTATTCATTGTTAAATAATAACAGTAAGGTACTGCTCATGTGTACATAGTTTACTCCAGGACACATCTTGTGGAGGAGTGTGACCAGTCAGTGAAAATTGGGAAGGGTAGCCCCCCCAAAAATGAGAGACTGAGGAATCTCTTCTTATAGATGGAGGCTCCCAGACTTTCATCAGGCTTTCACTGGCACAGCAGGGAAAGCAAAACTATGGAGTGTGTAAAAGGAAAACTACTGGCCATCAGTAAAAAAGCATCAGAATCTCATCTGATGTCAGTAGAGCCCTTGTCAGAACACTAAAATAGAAATGAATAAAAAAGTCATTTTCTAAGAAAACAGTTATTGTCCAGAATATGGAACTGGATTTTAAATGGCATTGTTATAAAAAAGCTAAAAATATCTGATGTTTACAGCCAAAGCAGAAATGAAATGAGTCCCCTTCTAAAGAACCACTCATACACACACATATACACACACGAACACAATCTGTAATCTATATATGGATATACACATGTATCAATGTATCCATGCAAAATCCCAGAAAGTGCTCATAATGTTAAAATCTAGGAAGTGGAACCAAGGTCTGCATGGAAGAGAATGGGTCATTTTTCATTGTATGCCTTTTTATACTGTTACAGGTTTGAGGGGTTTTTTTAATGTTTATTTTTAGAGAGAGAGAGAGAGAGAGTATGAGCAAGGGAGGGGCAGAGAGAGAGGGGGGGACAGAGGATCCAAAACGGGCTCTTTGATGATAGTGGAGAGCCTGATGTGGGTTCGAACTCAGGAACCATGAGATCGTGACCTAAGTTGAAGTCGGATGCTTAACCAACTGAGCCACTCAGGGGCCACTAAGTTATTTTCCTAAACAATTTTTTTTAATGTTTATTTTGAGAGAGTGTGTGTGTGTGAGCAAGTGGGGGGGGGGCAGAGAGAGAGAGGGAGAGAGAGAATTCCAAGCAGGCTCCATGCTGTCAGCAGGGAGCCCAACGTGGAACTTGATCCCACAAACTATGAGATCATGACCTAAGCCAAAATTGAGAGTCAGGTGCTTTAAAAATAAATAAATAGTCAAGTGCCACCCAGGTGCCCCTTAAATAAACTTTAAAAAAAAAAAAGCAATTTTTAAAAAAAGTTTATTTATTTTGAGAGAGTGAGGGAGCAGGGGAGGAACAAAGAGAGAGGGAGAGAGAAAATCCCAAGTAGGCTCCACACTGTCCACACAGAACCCGATGCAAGGCTCAAATTCACGAACCCTGAGATCATGACCTGAGCTGAAATCAAGAGTTGGATGTTTAACTGACTGAGCAACCCAGGCGCCCCAAATTAACTTTGTAAAAGAAAAAAATATGTATATATAGACTTCGGAAGTAATGAGCTCAATACAAAAAATCCTGTGAAAGAGAGGATCCCAAACATAGGTTTCTTAGAGGACAAGGAAAGAACGGGACCACAGATAGATGCTTTATGAGTACTGAATCTGGAATTGAACACTTTGCTTGCCTTCCTCATTCTCTGCTTTTGTGGTTGGTGATGTTTACTGTTGCTAGGAAACATTGCTATTTAGGAATTTATCTAGGATAGGATAATTACATTTGCTTCCTACTACAAATATCTGCAAGGATGTCTGAAAGAATATTTGACTGATTGAGTTTAGGAACAGGAATCCAGTACTTGAAACATAAGTAAACAGCCTTTTTCTAATTGGTTGACATAGGGAATTTAACTTTGTATTGAGAAATAGTAGAACATTTGCTTTCTAAAAATTTCTTACTTTTTTTCTTGTGGTAAAATACACAATAAATTTACCATTTCTTACTGTTACTTTGCAAGACTACACTGGCTTGTCTATTTCTGTCATAACAGGCTCTTTCTTGCCTCAGAACTTTGCACTTGCTGTTTTCTCTGTCTGAACAACCTTCCCCTAATCTTTGCAGGACTAGCTCCATTTAATCCTTCTGGTTTCACCTTAAATATCTCCATCTCTGATGATCTTATCTGAAGTAGATGCCCCCCCTCTTATTTTTATTATAATCCCTATCATAGCATTTATTACAGTTTTTCACTTATTTATGTTCATGTTTATTTGTTTATTGTTATTTTCTCCTTTTCAAAATTGCAGAATTCATGTATGGAGTAGATAGTTTTGTTCAAGACTGTTTCCATGTTCCTAGCACAGTATCTGATAATAAGTTTCAGATAAAACTGTAAATCTCCAATCAATGTGTTCAAACACATCAGGAATTGTTTCATTTTCTCATTAGAGACATCCTGGCTGGAGCTCAGTCTTCCAGCTCTAGACTGGGCAGATTACTCCTGAGGTCCCAGTCTTAGGACTTCTCTTCACCATCATTTTGAGGATCAAATTATTTTTTCATCCCCAGTCTTGGATCCCTTTGTTTCCTGGACTTTGGCTTACACTTGTATTTGGTGATACACATCTTCTAGTAGCTTTCTGAGAAAGTATATGGGAGATAACTTTTTTTATACATTGCATGTTTGAAAATCTCTTCTATCTCCACATGGGTCTAGAATCCTAAGTGAGAAATTCTTTGCCGTTAAAATTTCTAAGGCATGGCTCCATTGTCTTCTAGTTTTAGTTTTGTTATTGAGATGTTTGATGCTATTCTTCTTCTTGATTCTTTATGTTATCTGGGTACCCCCCCCCCACACTATCCTTTAATGGACATTTCTTGAGCCTCATGTTTTCCCTTGATATGCTTTTTAAAAATTTTTTTAAAATGTTTATTTTTGAGAGAGAGAGAAAGTGAACACATGCCTGGGTGGCTCAGTTGGTTAACTGTCCAACTTTGGCTCAAGTTATGATCTCATGGTTTGTGGGTTTGAGCCCTGCATCAGGCTCTCTGCTGTCAGTGCAGAGCCCGCTTTGGATCCTCTCTCTCTGTCTCTGCCCTTCCCCTGCTCATGCGTGCTCTCTCTCTCTCTCAAAAATAAATACGCATTTTTAAAAAATCTGAAATGTAAGACTCCTTTTAAGAAGGTAATTATGTTTTATTTTAAAGAGAAACTCTTAAGTAAATCACTTAAACTTTATGAGATACCATGTGGTAAATTCCTGCCTTTGGCTGATAAGAGAAGACAAAAGACAGAATAATTAAAACATGGGGAACTAACAAAGCACCTATCAGAGTGAGGGAAGTTTTCAAGTAAGATCTAATTTGAGTTTATTATCCTGTCTTTTCAAGCACCAGATGTTACTTTGGTTTTCCTTACATTTATTGTGAAGAGTTAAGTACTCTCTTGTTACCAAATTGTTTTTCACCCGTCTAAAATAAAACATTTTGTCAAGAATCTTGAAACACTCTTGGGGTGCCTGGGTGGCTCAGTCGGTTGAGCGTCCACCTTCGGCTCAGGTCATGATCTCACACTCTGTGAGTTCGAGCCCCGCGTCGGGCTCTGTGCTGACAGCTCAGAGCCTGGAGCCTGCTTTGGATTCTGTGTCGCCCTCTCTCTCTATCCCTCCCCTGCTCATGCTCTGTCTCTCTCTATCTCAAAAGTAAATAAAGAATCTTGAAACACTCTTTATATATATAAGAAGATAAAAGGAATATCTGGTGTATTATTCCAGATTATTTGTAAATTATACTTGCTATGCATTTAAGATGTATGTGAACTTAACAATAGTTTATAGCATATAGTAGATACTCATCAAGTATTTGTTGAATAAATTTAAGAGCATCTTCACATAAACTGCCATTTAGAAGAGGATGACAATAATTGATTGCAACACAATGTGTTATTAAGACTGTGTGTGTGTGTGTGTGTGTGTGTGTGTGTGTGTGTTTCAAATCTCTCTATGCCAGAGAGAAGAATCAGTATCAGTCCTGAGTGGTTAGCACTCAAGTCACCAAGTTCATTACAGCCCAAGTGTAAAGAGGGGATACATAAGTGGAGGGTGATAAGTGATGGTAGAGCACACACATGGTGCCAGCAGCAGAGAGAAGGAGCCCCCAAGCCAGCCAGGAAATGCTGTTTTTCAAGGAGGGGACTCCTGAGAGAAGGAAGAATGGGAATGAGTTGCACTGAGGTGGTGGCTGAGGGGAATGGGTAAAGTTGACCTGGGTAGAAGCAAGGATAGATTCCAAGCCAAGGGAACGGCATGCACAAGGCCAGTGGCGAGAGGGAGATTGCTTAGGAAACAGAGCTCAGAGATGTGGAGGTGGATAGAGAAGGTAAGAAGAAGTGAGCTTGGGTCTTGATGGCCAATTTAAAGATTTGGACTTCATCCAGTGGCCAGTGTGGTGCCATTGAAAGTTTCAGCAAGGGTTTCAGAGGATGCATGATCATATCTACATTCTTGAGAGAATACTCTGATGACGGGACCAAGAAGGTGGGCCAAGGAGGAGGTTGGTGCCATCATCTAGGCAGCAGGTTTCAGGGTCCCTAGGAGGTGCTGAGATTGAGTCTGCCTTGGCCAGGATGTTCTCAGGGAGGGAGGGAAGAAGAGACAGTGGAGGAACTGCCCTACTCTGCTTTCTCTCCTCACCAAGGCTGATCTGGGTAGAGTTCTGGGCACTAGCAGAGCAGGCTCAGGTGCCCCATGCCAGATTCTAGCTCCTCCCTCTCCACACTGTGGTCCGGGAAGGGTGAGGCATGCCATAGTCTTCGTGAGGTAATTGTCATTTTTCTGTATTTAGTGCAAGAGACTGTGCAGGCCCAGAGTGATCTGCTGTTGGGAACTGTGCATGACAAAGGCAACATGGAGCAGGTTATCCTCGAGATACGGAAGAGATTTGAAGCTGTAAGTGTGGATCCCAACCTCTTTCCTCAAGTATGTTGTTTTTTTAAAAAAAATTTTAATTATTTTTTTATGAACCTGTTTTATTTTTTATTTTTTTAAATTTACATCCAAATTAGCATATAGTGCAACAATGATTTCAGACCTCAAGTATGTTTTTGGCTTTGTCACTAAGTCCCAGAGAGACACCTTTAAAGTTGCAATTTTTTTCAGCCAAGAACAGAAGCCAGACAGGACTTCTTGTAATGGACCAATGTAGAGGCCAACTTCCTCCTCAAAGGTTCTCCGGCATGATGTGGGGCCCAGGGGCCTTACTCCAGAGTGTTACCATGCTTCCTCTGTAAAGCACCCAGCAAAAGACAAGCTGTGGTTCTGCCAACACATCCTTTGGTTGGTTTGCGCATTTCACTGTGCATTCGGAGTTGCAGTGTCCATAACTCTTTTCTTTCTCGCTGTCTTTCCCTAGAGACAAGCAGAATTTATAGAAATGAAGTCCGACCTGAAGCACCTTGAAGTTTTAGTTGCCCAGCAGAGTAAAGACTTCCAGCAGCTGTGTGAGCAGCTAGGCCAGCTGAATGTGGCCAGCATCCTAGCAGAGCTGAAGAGATTTATTTCAGTCCCTCAGGTACCTGGGCATGTGAAAGACAGCACTTCCCAGACCTCACTACCTCTGGCCCAGAGCCTCAGTTTCACCAGGCAGGACAGATATGCCTCTGAGGAACCAGATATGTGGCAGACTCAGGCCATCCCTGCTGTCTGGAATCTTAGTATGGGCTCCCTGCAGCCTGGGGAGTTTGCTATCTATACTGAGGGAGCAAAAAGTGATGCTCTCCAAGGAGAGGCTGTGCTGATGGCCGCTGGAACCGGCAAAAGAAGCAGGCGAGTAAAGGACAAGGCAGTGCAGACCAACTGCCAGAATTGGACTCTTAATAAAACCAGCCCTGAGAATCATGGCTCTGGTTCCCCAGGCCACAAAGTTCCTTGTGACTGGAGCTGGGTTTCCCAAGGAGCCTCAAGGTTTATACCCCTGGACTTTGAATCCAGCATTAAGAACACTTGCCAAAAATGTCAAGCTGAAGGTGTGCTTTCGTGTGCCCCTTGTGAACAAAGGCTGGTGACTGCACAGAAAGGCAGAACTATGGAAAGAGGGGGGAAAGGCAAGAAGCAGCAGCCCAGGAAAGCCCGCAGAAGCAGGCTCCTAACCAGGAAGCAAGAACAAACCCCTAGCAAAACCTGTGCTTTCAATTCTAAATATCCTCAGCTTCCAGTTTCTGGCCCACAAAGGCTCCCCCTGGAGCAGCAGGAACCCTTTGCTCAGTCCCTGCATCTGTGGGGCTCCAGGACTCCCACAAAACCAGTCATCCCTTTTCTGAGAGCAACAGTCATGCCCAGTAAGACAGTGAGGGCAGCACAGGAGAACATCTTGCAGCTCAGTGGGCATTCTTCCAAAGACAACAGCCTGCTTTCTAAAAGTTCCCTGGGGGACCACCAGATGAGCTGGTTCAGTGACCTCAACCTTGGAAGTTCAGAGTCTCCTCTGTGCAAGGATCCAGGGAAGAATATGCTATATGATCTGGGTTTTGACAGCAGTGATGATGGCTTTTGACCAGCCCACAATCTGACTTCAGCTGATAGTTTATTGGTCTCAGCTGGAAAGACAAATTCTAGAACACTGGGGCTGGCTAACAGCAGAAAGTCCCTGAAGCCTGATTGGAGCCCTCAGGCTCAGAGGGCCTGCTGGGGGGTGGTGGTCAGTGTAGGACAGGTGCAGGGCAGGGGAGTAGCTCTGGTGTTCTGGGTACCAGGTGCTGCCCATGACAAGCATAAGGGATAATTGCATCCTTATTTATTGGAGTGAAGCACGTGGAGACGACAGTGATGAGCTGGAGCAGCAGCCTGGGTGTAGGGCATCAGGAGGAGGGTGCTGATTTTGGTGAAAGGAGGACTGGCCTCCATGTGGAATACTGAGTGGCAGAAGGGCTCTCATAGAACTGTTGCTGTGGCAGCAAGACTCCCAAACATTTTTGGTCTTCACGGTATTTCCTACACCTGACCAATACCTATCCAGGCCTCGGGATTTTTAAAATTATTTTTATCCAGTTTTACTGTCAGAGCACTTGCATGTTTTGATCAGTGGACATATTACAGAACACACTTCTTGTGAACAGAGAAACAGAGAATGTTAAGCTGCCAATGAAAAGAGGTGACGGGCACCCAATAAATTCCCAGAGCACCACTGTATACAAGCCACACAATCCCATTTTTCTTCCTGGCTGTTTTTCCTATGCTGTTTGCAACCACCCTTCAAGCTAATGAGAGCATCTAAGGGCCCTGTATTATTTCCAGAGAGCAATAGGCTTATGTGAGACTTTGGCTGTCTATTCATATCTTGCAGAAGTTTTGAATTTTTGTTATACATATATGTATATTTGTTTTATAACAAAAAATAAAAATTTTTAAAAGCATATTTTTTTCATTATGTTTATTGAACTGATCTCCCAACAACTTAAGAAAATCAAATAGGGTGCCTGGGTGGCCCAATCGGTTGAGCTTCCGACTTTGGCTCAGGTCATGATCTCACAGTTCGTAAGTTTGAGCCCCACATCAGGCTCTCTGCTGTCAGTACTGAGCCCAGATCCAGCTTCAGATTCTCTGTTCCCCAGTTTCCCTTTCTGCCCCTCCCTGACTCGTTCTCTCCCACCCTCTCTTTCTCTCTCAAAAATGAACATTTTTAAAAAAAATAAAATGGATAAGACATATACCATCTTTTTATTCCATAGACTTCGCCCAAATGATTTTGAATAAACACCACCCTATTCAGACTAGTTTCCTTTTTCTTTTCCTTTATTGTTTGAAAGTAAAATTCCTCACTGGATGGATTGGCTTCCAGAATTTGCCCATTTTCAAGGCAATGCAGTAAATGACACTGGGACCTCTGAGTGGACCATTATAGAAAGCAGTGGTTCTTGATTTTTATTTTCATTCTTTATTTTCAAGGGAACGTATCCCACAAAAGTTTGAGTTTAATTTGCCCGCAACACCTTTGGCAACCTAAGCTGCTCTTATTCCCGTTTCCAGACCAAGGGCCTCCTATGACCTGTGGCTGGGATCCTCAGGCAATGACAGCAGCCCTTTCCAAGGCCCAGGAAGTACAGACTTGGACTCTGCCTACGACTGCCCTGGCCTTTTCTCCCCCATGAGCCTCGCTGCATGCCTGTTCACCCTGCCCTCTGCCAGTCTCTACCACCTTCCATACTAGTTTTCTCTGCTTATACATGGGAGGAAAGGGCCCAGCCATGCAATGGGCTCCTTCCAACCCGTCTCAAACTGACTACAGGTGGCTGTTGAGCGGTTAGCATGAGGCTTGTAGACCAGAGGGGTTTGTATCTGGAAATCTTTTATTACTCTAAGCTGAAAAGTTTGGTCATTTTAACTCAAAGTTGAGATCCTGTTAAGAGAATTCCATTAATGTTTATGACTATGGCCTTCTCATTGAAGGGTCTGTCCAATTTTGAAATGCGAAAGCAGGGGGCGCCTGGGTGGCTCAGTTAAGCGGCTGACTTTGGCTCAGGTCATGATCTCACAGCTTGTGAGTTCAAGCCCCGCATCGGGCTCTGTGCTCTCAGCACAGAGCCTGGAGCCTGCTTCGGATTCTGTGTCTCCCTCTCTCTCTCTGCCCCTCCCCCGCTCACACTCTGTCTCTCTCTCTCTCTCAAAAAATAAACATTAAAAAAAAGAAAGAAAGAAAGAAAGAAAGAAAGAAATGCCAAAGCAGGACCTTCTGTTCTTTTGATTCTGCTGTGAGTTATGAAATCCTGTATTTCTTCAGAAGTATTTCATTTTGTGTTATGAAGTCAAAGATCAGAGTGACTCAGTGTTCCATGAGCTGGGTGTTTTTGTAGAATGAGCAGTAAATTTATCTCCCAACAAGGCTGGGTTAATTAAAATTACACTGCCTGTCTCTGGTAATCATCAGGAAAGGATATTCTGTTTCTTATTTTATTCCTAAGGCTTTTTTTTTTTTTTTTAACTACTGTGTTCCTGCCAGAATTGGTGAGCGTGACATAGCCCAGGCACATCCCCAGAGCACACGATGTTTTGCTCTTTGGATGCTGATAGAGATGTGGCTACACAGGGGCAGCTATAGTGGGAGGTCTATGGACCTAGGGCCCAGATAGCCACCTAGGGGCTCCTCCCTCTGATAATCACTCCAGCTACATCTGAGGATGGAAATAAAGCCAACCACAGCACCCAATTGTCTTGACATTCAAGTATCAATCAATACATTTTCAGAGAGAGAACAGCAGGCGAAGGACAGAGAGAAGGAGACAAAATCCCAAGCAGGCTCCAAGCCATCAGCACAGAGCCCAATGCAGGGCTCAAAGTCACCAACCATGAGATCATGACCTGAGCTGAAATCAAGAGACACTTAACCGTCTGAGCCACCCAGGCACCCCTCAAGTATCAATTTAAATGTCCCCTACAGAGAGGTGTCTGGGGGGCTCAGTCAAGTGCTCAACTCTTGATTTCGGCTCAGGTCATGATCTCATGGTTTGTGAGTTTGAGCCCCACATCAGTGCAGAGCCTGCTTGGGATTCTCTCTCAAAATAAATAAACTTAAAAAAAATAATGTCACCTACAGACAGACCTTTTCCTGACCTCTTCTGTAGGAGCTCACCCTACTCACTGCCCATTCCCTTACCCTGTTTTAATTTTCTCCTACAGCTCCATCTGAAATGGCATATTGATGTGCATACTTGATTTGCCTGCCTTGGTGGGCGGAATAGAAATCCCAGAAGCAAGATCGGCATCTGCCTCATCCCAGTTATATCTTCAGCATCCAGGAGAGTGTCTGACCTTAGTAGACACTTGACAAATAGTGAGGGCAGGGATTGCTTGCTTAACATTTGAAGAGCTCTTTGCAGCCTGTCCCAAAGTCAGGTCTCTTTAGCATTCCTTTGCAACTTTCCTTTTTTGTGTTTTGTCTCAGAAGCTCCAGAGGTCTCCTGATGAGGGGTCTCCTGCAATATGCTCTCTTCTCTCCCAGGCCAGGTACCAGCAACCTCTCTCCACCGGAAATGCCCAGAAAACAACAGGCTTTCTGCCTTCCAAACAGTTGCTTCCTACAACGGATGAGCAATTTTGAAAAAATTTTCATGCTAGGCCTTAGGCCAAAACTCATCAAATCAGGCATCCTCCAGTTGGCCAAGCACAGAAAGTCCTTCCCCACTAGGGCTAGGATCCATTGTCAGGTAGATTTCCTAAGTAAAACTTTGTCCACTCTATAAATATTTTAACGGAACATAAAATATTAACATTCTCCCACATACTCCAGGGAGAAAGCAAATTGCCAGAGCTTCAGATAGTCTTGGGATGAAAGTCTTGTCAATTGTTATCTACGGTCAGGTGCAGTGGCCTCCCTGGTTCGCATGCGCTATTCACTGGCTACTGCCATATTAAATGCCCTGTGCTTTAGTTAGAGGAGGTAGCATCCTGGTACCAGGTGAGCCCCCAGCTGAGCCATTCAATAAGAGGAAGATTGGCCTGAATTAGGCCTCTTTTGCAAATCCTCTTCCTCAATTTCTTTGATCACTGACAGCTCACAACTTCTCTGGTGGGAGGATGGTGTCGCTGTCCTATCAGCACATTCCTGGATACACAGGTGAGAGACACAGGGCCCCAGGTTTTGTTGCCTTCTGCCTGGTCTCCTGGTCCCCTTGCGTTCTCTCCTGGGATTAGAAGTGGAGGGTCCAAGGAGCCAGGGCAGGTGGGCCAGGAGGTGGCTCGGCTCCCCTATTCCCCGAGTGAAGGGAGCAGGAGGCAGGGGGAGGGGGACCTGGAGACCCGGAAATGAGAAGGCAGGCCCCAGTGCCTGACTGAGCTGGCTGAAACTCAAGAGAGGGAGAGGCATACTAACTGGAAGTTCTCTCAGAACTCAACCTGGCAAGATTTCAGACTCTGATCTAGACCCATGTGGCTAGACAGCCATGCCCAGTAATGTGGAGAACATGGGAGTCTGGATGAGGCTGAGGGCAGGGTCAACACTTCCAGCCCTTGAATTGTCCTTTTGAAATAACTGTTGCTCTGCTCTCAGGCCTCAGCTGTGGTTCTCTGCTCCCTGCTGACCTTCACTCGGCCATTGGCTCATCTCTCTCCTTTCTCCTACCCCTTCTTCCTCAGCCTGCCCTGCCTGCCCTCCTGCAGGTCCTAGTAGCTTCTGTGAACCAGCTCCTGCCTTACAAAGTCTACAAATAGAGCTGCATATAGAGCTGGTTTCTAGTGGCTTCGGCATGGACACTGGTGGGATGCAGCCAGGGGACCTGAAAACCTCTTACAGGGCTGGATGGGCCCAGCTTCTCACGTGCCTTGTGCTGTGGCTTGAATTTGCAGTTTGCAACTAGTAGGTTCCAAAGCTCCTATTTATTCTTGAGGTTGCCTTGTTTCTATTTTGATTCTGCTAATCCAAAGCCCAGTTTGGTGTTTCCACGGAAACAATTCAGTGATTGTTTAGTTTGCCAAGATGAGCTGCGGGGGAGAGAACCAAATGACGTAAAACATTTTTAGTTTCTCAAATAGGACTATCATTGTCTCAAGAAGTTGTTGGTCCCAGCCCCCTGCAAACCCAAGGAAATATTCTAGACTCCTTTTCCCCTTCTAGCTAAGTCTCTAGAGACCCATTCCCCAAACCCCTGCTGTGTGCAGATAAGCACACATCTGCCCAGTAAAGCAGATGACAAAGGCAGGAGGGTCTCCTTAGGACACTCAGGAAGCCAGGGATGCAGAGACAGGAGTCCATGTCACAAGGGAAATGACCATATGGCTGCTCCTGCTAATCTGGGACTGGAGAGCCAGAGGCTCAGGGCTCACCTGCTTTAACTGAACAAGCTGTGTTCCTACAGTGAGGAAAAGCTCCTCATCCAAGGATTCAGGGTGAATTACCCCTCTGGCAAATTTGAAGTTTTACAGAAAGGTTTAGCTAAAACAGTGGTGTATCTGTCTGGGGGCATGGAGAGCTGGGTCTCCCCCACCCATGCTGAGCCTTGTTCTCAAGGACCACAGTCTCCTCCACAGGCAGAAAGTCCTCTCTCTGCAATCTTCTCAGGTTGGGGCGAGGCCCCCATTCCCAGAAACCACTCCCTGTACAAAGACCCCGGGGGAGCGTGAATGGAGACCTAGAGCTTCTGGTACCGGGGATCAGGCGACTCTCCTGCCAAGGCTCTGTAAGTCCTCCCACTGTGGGTCTGGTTTCTGCTCCAGTTGCTGGGAACTGTGAAGGTCAGCTCTGGGCAGTTAGCTGGTGAGGGATACCCTCAGCTGGCTGGTGGAGTTGGGGGTCTTAAGAAGACATACATGTCCACTGCAGAAAAATTAGAAAATATGGACAAGAAAAAACAAGACAAAACCCCCTTGCCTTCCATAACAATGTCCTGTATATGCTGTGCTCATACACACATTTGTACAAACTTGGGATCAATTGCACTTTCAAAAAATAAATACATTTTAAGTTTTGGAATAACTTTAGATTTACAGGAAAGTTGCAAAGACAGTTTCTATCTACCCTTCACCCAGTTTCCCCTAATGTTAACACCTTACATAACTGAGGCATATTTGTCAAAGCTAAGAAACTAATACATGAACTCCAGCCTTTATTTAGACTTCCCCAGTTTTTCCATTAATGTCTTCTTTCTGTTCCAGGATGTAATCCAGGATACCACACTGTGTTGTAGTCAGAGTGTCTTCACTGGTCTGTGACAGGTTTCAAGTCTTTCCCTGTTCTTCATGACCTTGACAATCTGGAGTGCTGGCCAGGCATCCTGCAGAACGTCCCCCAATCTGGGTTTGTCTGACATTTAGTGTATGATTAGACTGGGGATGAGGGGCTTTGGTAAGAACACGGTAGAGGTGGAGCACCCTTCTCATTGCTCCCTGTGGGGGTGGATCAGCCACATGACGTCACTGGTGGTGCCACCTTCATCACGTGCTTAAGTGCTGTCAGGCTTCTGCACAGAAATCTGTTTTTCTTTTTCCCTGCTCTGTTCCTTGGAAGGGACTCACTGAGTCTAGCCTGGCCTCAAGGGGTAGTGATGGGAAACAGAGTGGATTAAGCTCCGCCTTCTCTATGGGAGACAATCCACATCAACACTTCATATCTGAACTACACTGTGTTGAGCCCTGGCTTTTTTGGATCCCAAGTAGACCTCTCTCCACGCACACAGCCGTTCTTCACCTGAGCAATACAGCTGAGGATACTGTGAGCATTATTTTCATTTGCTCCCGTCCTTTTTGCTAAGGGAGAAGAAACTGGTCCCTAACTCCACAAGCGGTGAGTGCTTATTGAGGGTGCCATTCCCTACAGGGACTGAATGTCCTCTGCTTAACCTTGTCCTGCCCTCTGCCCCCCGCGGGGCAGTGGTGGTGGCTGCCTTGGCAGGGGAGGCCCATCTCATGAAGTGGCCAGAGGCTAGTGGTGCCATTTGCTCCGCTAAGGGGTGGGCATGCAGTCTCCACCTGAGAGCTCGCAGGAATCACCAGACCTGTGTCACCAGCTCTGCAGCCTGCCCTATGCTGAGGTCTCTAGCCTAAAAGATGGCCTGTCAGAGGGGAGCCCTTGGCCACGGGCCTTCCTTCCTGGTTCTCTGGGTTGTTTGGGCTTTGGGTCTTACAACAGCCCCTGTGCCAGCCTCCTCATCCCCATCCTCCCCATATGAGCCCAGAAGGCAGGCACTTCCCTGAGACTCAGTTTCTGGGCATCAAATCTTGCCCAATAGCTTATGTGTCCCAAAAGAACATCATGATTTTAAGACATCTGCCAAAATAGTTTCTGATGATGTCCTTGTCCTTTCTTTCCAGGAGTGTGGCTAGTGCCAGCCCTGTTAGGCTTTTGCTGCTATGCTGACCTCAGGGGAGCAGTGGGCTGGCTCCTCCTTCACTCCCTGCCCATCTTGCCCTAGCAGGGTCATTGCTACAGGGATTCTCTGTGGCCTCCAGGGTCTCCAAGCCTGGAGTGGGATGCATGAAGGTGGGGCATTGGCCCATGGGCAGAACCTATGCTTACCTTTTCATCCC